CATTGACTACGCTCGTTGATATGTTTATTTATATTTTCTCATGTGGGGTGCGCGATAGACTTACCTCCACGTAGTGCACCCTGGACAACGTATACTCATGCGGCAAAAAAGTCTATCGCTAGGCATTTGATTTGACTTCAGTATTATGATTAGCTTGAAACAAAGCTATAAGAGAAATCGCCCATGTCGGAGCGAATCACAACGTCTACAGATCCTCCAGCGGAATGCTGGAGGGATGTCACAGGACAAAAAGGTCCAAGTACAGCAGTGTCAGTGGACTACAGAAAAGGCTACAAACCTATGATGTAGACATTTTCACAATTATGGAATCAGGAATGTCGCCGGACAAAAAGATCCAAGTACAGAAAATCCCTAAAGTGATGAAGACATTTTCACAATTATGGAAACTAACATTTCGGATGACAAACTGTTCCCAATTATGAAAAGCAAACATTTCGGATGACAAACTGAAGTACTATCAATTCCCAGGCTACACCCTGTACCTTCTACCTAAATACCGGCAAGTTAAAGAAGGCCTCACCTCACATTACGATCTAATCAAGAGAATGGGCACGACGCAAGACATCTGCTAAATAATCAGATTAAGTGTTTGGAAATGTCAAAACCACTTCAAGATACATGCAGTTTATAATCCACCCCAGAATAGTCCCAACTTTGATTTTCTGAACATCTCACACAAAACTGTAGTATTAGGACACTTCAACGCCCATTCCACCAGATGGGGCTACAAGGATACAAACATAACTGGAAAGGAAATTGAAGACATGCTAAACAGCAACCCTCTGGAACTTATTTACAGCAATGAGGATCCGGCTACATATTTGCACTACAATGGAACTAGAACAACTCCTGACTTACTCTTGGCTTCAAGCGACATCAGTGAGCATACACGCCACAAAATAATTGAAGATCCTGGTTCTGGTCACAAACCAGTCATTGCAGCAAAAGCATGACAACGAAAGTGCCAACAAAGCTATCATGGAACTTCAAGAAGGCTGACCTGCCAACTAAGCTATCATGGAACTTCAAGAAGGCTTACTGGCCTAGATTCACAAACCTTTTAGAGGATGAACTTCAGCCTAGATTCACAAACCTTTTGGAGAATGAACTTCACACAATTCCCAACTAAGCTATCATGGAACTTCAAGAATGCTGACTGGTCAGATTCACAAACCTTTTAGAGAATGAACTTCACACAAGTCCTCGATCATGGATGACTGGCCTATATTCACAAACCTTTTAGAGAATGAACTTTACACAAGTCCCCTAAACTTCAACCAACATCCTGACAAATTTTGCAATGGTATCACGAATATTATGATCAGATGGGCAAAGAAAACTATTCCCAGAGGCAAGACTAAACACTTTCGGGTGTTTTGGTCTAGACACCTTGAGGAACTGAAAAGAAGGCGGGACGCCCTTCGCAACACTGCTGATCAGAGTGGAAGAATGGAAGGCGTACAAGCCTGGAGACAACAATCAGCTGTCCTAAGACAAGCCATCTTACAAGCTAAACAAAATCACTGTCCTAAGGCAAGCCATCTTACAAGCTAAACGGACTTCGCTAAGACAAGCCATCTTACAAGCTAAACGCACTTCCTTCGTCAACTTCATCTTAAATATCAGCTATTAAAGTGATAGCCAACGCACTTTCAAATTCCTGGGTTACCTTCAAAGCAACAGGGAAAGACCCAAGAAAGAACCAATACGTTTAAAAAACAAACTGTTTACCACCGACTCTGAAATAGCTAACAGCTTTGCGAGGTTCTATTCCCACAAGCAAAATAAAAACCCTTTTGTCAGAAAATCTTCAAGAGATTTTAAGATACAAGTAAGACAGTTTGGTGAAATTAAGGAAGACATAGCAACACCAAATAATGTACTTACTGAACCATTCAGACCTTGCAAACTTAATGCTGCGATAAAACAGCTCAAGTGCAAGAAGTCTCCTGGCGAAGACGGTATTCATCCTGAGTTTCTAATTAGAATGGGACCAAAAGCCAAGGAAACCATGCTGACGCTTTACAACAAAATCTGGGAGACCAGTCTCGTTCCTAACCAA